GTTTAGCACCCACTAATTCAGTGCCCATGCTCCCTATAACTTACTGCCCTGTGTGCTGCACCCCCTCCCCTCCCTGACCCTGTCCACAGTGACCACCGTCCACGTGATGGTTTATTTGTTGTTAGTTTGGGTGTTCATGCCCCTGCTCTTGGTTTGGTTTTATCTCATACCTTTGCCTGTGTACCATCATTCTTAGTCTTACCTGTTTCGCTTTTTACTTAATGTTTTATCATGGAAACTTTCAAATACAGGTGGTTCTCGAACAACACAGGTTTGACCTTCAAGGGTCCTCTTATACACATATTTTTTCCCCAATAAATACCATAAACGTATTTTCCTTATGACTTATTTTTTCCAGCAGACTTGATCGTAAGAATACAGAATGTATTACATATAACGTACAAAATATGTGTTAACCAGCTGTTTATGTTACTGGTAAGACTTCTGTTCAACAGTAGGCTATTAGTTAATTTTGGGGGGAAATCAAAGTTATACATAGATTTTTTTTCTGCACCCCTAATTCCCATGTTGTTCAAGAACCAATTGTATACATAAAAGAAATAACCAACGTACCTTGCTATTCATCAGAAGATCTGCATACTCACTCTCCATTTCAACTAAAAATTCTCTAAAGTTTCAATCACACTGTACGTGTGCGCCCACACGTGGTATTTTGTGGAAGAGCCACACTCAAGGAGCCAAAGAGCCGCATGTGGCTCATGAGCCTCAATTTGCCAACCACTGCCCCAGGCCATGGTCAGGGCACATGCAAGAGGCAACCAATCACTGTTTCTCTCACATCGATATTTCTCTGTCTTTCCCTCTCTTTTCCACTCTCTCTAAAAATCAATAGAAAAATATCCTCAGGTGAGGATTAAAAAAATAATAATAACAAAGAAAGAAAGAATACAAGAGGAAGCCCCATGTAACAGTCAGTATATAGCTGACTTTTTTTTTTTAATTAATTTTTTTACATTCAACATTATTTAGGGTTTTTGTTTGTTTTTATTGAATTTTAGAGAGGACGGGGAAGGGAATGAGAGAGAGAAACATCAATATGAGAGCAAAATGTCGATGGGCTGCGTCCTGCGCACCCCGACACCTGCCTTGATACCCAGCCACCTGAGTCACACTGGTCAGGGCTCAATATTAATAGGGTTAGACAGTCATATACTTTGTACGAGTTCCTCCCTGATACTGCCAGCTCCCGCCGGCACCGCACTCCGTCATTACAATATTACTGACCAGATTCCCAATGCTGTACCGTACTGTACATCCTTGTGACTTTTTGTTATTGTTGTTAATCCTCACCCAAGGATATTTTTTCGTTGATTTTTAGAGAAAGTGAGAGGGAGGGAGAGAGAGAGAAAAACATCCATGTGAGGGAGACACATTGATTGGTTGCTTCCCTCATGTGCCCAACTAGGGCCAGGGATTGAACCCAAGACCCTTTGGTGGTCAGGCACTCTAAACACTGGGCACACTGGGCACACTCTCCCCTCACCCCGTGACTGTTTTTGTAACTACAGATCTGTACTTCTCAATCCCTTCAGCTTTTTCACCCAGTCCCTCACCCCCCACCCCCACACCTCCCCTCTGGCAACCATCAGTATTCTGTATCTGCATCTGTTACTGGTTTGTTTTTTTAAAATATGTTTTATTGATTTTTTACAGAGAGGAAGGGCGAGGGAGAGGGATACAGAGTTAGAAACATCGATGAGAGAGAAACATCGATTCAGCTGCCTCTGACACGCCCCTACTGGGGATGTGCCCGCAACCCAGGTACATGCCCTTGACCGGAATCAAACCTGGGACCCTTCAGTCCGCAGGCCGGCGCTCTATCCACTGAGCCAAACTGGTCAGGGCTGTTTCTGTTTTTATGTTGTTCTTTAGATTCCATGTACCAGTGAAATCCTGTGGTATTTCTCTGATTATTTCACTTAGGATAATACCCTTTAGGTCCACCTTTGCTGTTGCAACACAGCTGATTTTTTAAGCTAATTTTATTTTTCAATAACAATAGACATACAATATATTGGCTTTGGGTATGCAACATAGTGATTAAACATTTATATACCTTACAAAGTGATCACCCCAGTAAATCTAGTACACATCTCACACCATACATAGTTAGTACAATATTATTGACTATATTCCCTGTGCTGTATTTTACATCCTCATGACTTTTTATAACTGGTAATTTGTACTACTTTTTCTCTTTTTTTAATCCTCACCTGAGGATATTTTTCCATTGATTTTTAGAGAGAGTGGAAGAGAGAGGGAAAAACAGAGAACTATTGATGTAAGAGAAACACATTGATTGGTTGCCTCCTACAGGGCCCAGGCTGGGAAGGAGCCTGCAACCGAGGTACGTGCCCTTGACTGGAATCGAACCTAGGACCCTTCAGTCCACAGGCCGACGCTTTATCCACTGAGCCAAACCGATTAGGGTGCAACTTGTACTTCTTAATGCCTTCCCCTTTTCCCCCAGCCTCCCCCCGCACCCCCAATACCCCTCCCATCTGGCAACCATCAAAATGTTCTCTCAATCTTTGAGTTTGTTTCCGCTTCATTTATTTTGTTTTTAGTGAAATCACATATAAGTGAAATCATGGCATTTGTCTTTCTCCAACTTACTTTCCTCAGCATAATACCCTCTAGGTCCATCCATGGCAAGATTTCACACTTTACAGCTGAGTAACAGTCCATTGTGTGTATGTACCACGTCTCCTTTCCCCTTGTCTCTTGGTGGACACTTAGGTTGCTTCCATATCTTGCCTATTCTCTAACTAATAAAAGGGGCCCTAACTGATTTGGCTCAGTGGATAGAGCATCAGCCTGCGGACTCAAGGGTCCCAGGTTCTATTCCGGTCAAGGGCATGTACCTTGGCTGCGGGCACATCCCCAGTAGGGGGCGTGCAGGAGGCAACTGATTGATGTTTCTCTCTCATCAACTCCCGCGTCCCCGCCCCCCAGCCAGCCCAGCCCGATGGGGCAGACCGGCCAGACCCCACACATGCACGAAAGTGCACCGGGCCTCTAGTTCTAAATAACGTTCCAGTGAACACAGGAGTGCATATGCGTATTGGAATTAGTGTTTTGGGTTTCATTCCCGGAAGTGGAATTGCTGGGTCATATGGTAGTTCTATTATTAATTTTTGAGGAAACTTCATACTGTTTTCCACAGTGGCTTCACCAATTTGCATTCCCAAAAACAGTCCTCAAAGGTTCCCTTTCCCCACATCCTCACCAGCACTTGTTGATTTATTCATGGTAGCCATTCTAACAAGTGTGAGGTCATATCTCACTGTGGTTTTAATTTGCATTTCCCTGCCGATTATTGATGCTGAGCGTTTTTCATATCTCTTGGCCATCTGTGTGTCCTCTTTGGATAGGTGTCTATCCAGGTCCTTTTCCCATTTTTTAATTGGATTGTTTGGGGGGTTTTTTATTTC